TTCCTCAGGGAAAAGAAAATTACCCATGTCAACTATCTGTTAGAAGCTACTCTTTTTTTTTTTTTTTTTTGCTGAGGAAGATTCACCCTGAGCTAACATCCACTGCCAATCTTCCTCTTTTTGTATGTGAGTTGCAGCCATGGCATGTCCCACTGACAGACAGGTGGTACAGGTCTGCACCCAGGAACTGAACCTGGGCCACCAAAGCGGAATGCTCCAAACTTAACCACTAGGCCACCGGGGTGGGCTCAGAAACTAGTCATTTTTGACTAGGAAAATGATCAAACACTTGAAATTATATGTCACACAGATATGACTTAGGTCTAAGACTCTTTTTCAGTTTTGGACACCTGCACGCAGATATACTGAGTTGGGGCTTCCTCCTCATGAATTAATTGGTTAATATCTAGTCTTATTCTTTTCAGCCAAAGGTACGAGAGACCCATGCCTTCAAAGTGCATTCAAGCTTACTGGAAGTGAGACTAACACAATTAAACAATTATAGAATATAGGACAGCATATATTTAATTGTTCTTTCTGAGCGTATGTGTGTATGTGTAACAGATCATATATACCACTGGTTCTCAAATATTTTGATCTCAAGACCCCTTCTGAAAATCACTGATGCTCTGAAAAAGCTATTTTTATGTGGATTTTACGTATTGGTATTTACCATATTAGATATCAAAACTAAGAAAATTTTAAAACATGAGATCATACAGGTACACATTCTGCAAGCTGTTAGAGCAATGAGTTTACCACTCACCATGTAGCCTTTGGACCATTCCACTGTACAGTCATGAGAGAATCAAAGTAAAAATGAGACTCTGAAAACCAGTGGAACGTGTGTGTGTGTGTGTATACATTAGTAGCATTATACTTGCTTAGCAAGTCAACGATAAACTCTTATCTACTATTTCTACTTCTGTGGATTTTTCTGATTCTGGCTCCTTACTCTTTTTGGCCAGGGTCTTTTTGGCTTGTGCCTTTGCACTTGCTCTTTGGAATGAGATAGGAGAGTTGGTTCTACAGAAAGTTTCAAAAGTTCTTTGATGATCAAAGGGCAATATAATTTAATTCCTTATGGTTCCACCTAGCATAAAAGTCAGATTCTTCTTATCTCAAATAGTTGTTAAGATGATTGTCAGAAATTATGGAAACAAAGCTTGTATGACACTGTCACAATATTAATAATTAAAAAACATGGTTATAGTTTAAAAAGCAACTATAACTCATTTATCATTTTTGCTTCATTTTCTGTATTCAGGTTCTGTTGTATATGAAGACCAAAGTTGTTTGAGAGGTTTCTTCTTATTTAAAAAATTACTGAGAGATTCTTTAACGATTCTCTCCTCTCCCTTTAGTCAGTGAATTGAATTTTGTGAAATCCTGATATAAAGACACCCAAGCTCAGCCAAGTCAACTGAAGTTCATTTGCATTCCTAAACATCTTCATGCCCCTGTGGAAGCTGCAGAACCAGCTGCCACTCTCTGCACTGGGCATTGCCTCTCCCACAGAGGACTTACGTGCAATTTTTGTTTTATTTCCCCTGAAGCAGCTGGGGCACTTCCTCATTATCTAGACTTGGCTGAAGGCTTCAGGTTTCCCCTGAGATCCTCAGACAAACACGGTAGTACTAAAGTACTAACACTAATGTTTTTGTAACTTGCTATTTGCTTTCTATGTTGTTACTCAATTGCCTTGTGAATTAGACAGTATAATAAGAATAAACATTTTCTTAATAAACTCAGAAACCTCTAGACAGACTGAAAGTACCCTATGTACTACAGTGAGAAGAAAAACATATCCTTATTTTAAGCACTTATTCAAATTCTTTGTTAATAATGTTTGTTCAATTCTAGTGTAGAAAGTATACATGAGGGAATGTACTGCTGCATTAAGACCTTTCATTTTCCTTTTCTATCTTTTACAAACAATTGGTCTGAAGCAGTAGTCCAAGATACAGAATATTATGTGGTTGTTGGCAAAGACATTTAACAAGTAAAATTCCTGGGGAAGAAAAAGGGAGGAACATACTACACTTTCCCTGTTAATGACCAATTTAAGAGAGAATGATGGCGCTGGTCCCATGGCATAGTGGTTAACTTCACATGCTCCACTTTGGTGGCCTGGGTTCACAGGTTCGGATCCCAGGCATGGACCTGTACCATTCATCAGCCATGCCATGGCAGCAACCCACATATAAAGCAGAAGAAGACTGGCAGAGCTGTTAATTCAGGGCTAATCTTCCTCAAAAAAAGAGGAAGATTGGCAATAGATGCTACCTCAGGGCTAACCTTCTGCAGCAAAAAAAGTAAATAAAAAAAATAGGGGCCGGCCTGGTGGCGCAGTGGGTAAGTTTGCACACTCCGCTTGTCGGCAGCCCAAGGTTCGCCCATTCGGATCCTGGGTGCAGACATGGCACCACTTGGCAAAAGTCATGCTGTGGTAGGCGTCCCATGTATAAAATGGAGGAAGATGGGCATGGATGTTAGCTCAGGGCCAGTCTTCCTCGGCAAAAAGAGGAAGATTGGCAGGAGTTAGCTCAGGGCTAATCTTCCTCAGAAAAATAAATAAATAGAAGAGAATGACAATGAGAACATGGTTTCAAATGTGCCAGTCACTTATACTTAGTGTTCTGAGCAATGAGAATGACCAATAAAACAACGGGTTTTCACAAAAGAACATACTGCAGCACTTACTTTTTTTTTGTTTTTTTGCTGAGGAGGATTCACTGAGTTAACATCTGCTGCCAATCTTCCTCTTTTCGGATGTGAGATGCTGCCATAGCAGGGCCACTAACAGACGAGTAGTGGAGGTCCACGCCTGGGAATCGAACCTAGGCCACTGAAGTGGAGTGTGCCAAACTTAACCACGAGGCCGCTGGGGCTGGCCCTGCAGCACTTACTTTGAAGATTGCTACTGTTTCCTTTACTCACCTTTCAGATCAGTGGCAGGAGGACAGATCCACAATCATCACTGCCACTGACTCAGCGGTTACCCACTCTTCTCAATGAACTCTGAGGAAAGGCAGTAAAATTCAAGTCCTTAAACCTGTCTGTGAAACGCTGTGATTTGTCAAGTCTCATACACACAAACGTCAAACTGAGGACTGTCAATGACAGATTCCAGTGGAATTTTTCCAGTATTTCTAGAAAGCAAATGCTTTAATAAATGCATTTCCACTTAGTGAAAACTTCACGCAAGAAGAAAATAGTAACTCTAAAAACTGTTAAGTTCAATAGTAGAATTGATATGTCTGTTATGAGTTCAAACTGTCCTTTCATTGCATAAACACTTCCACGACTGGCAAGTAGTATTAAATATGACCAATTTTCTCAAAGAAATATCAACTTTCTGGTCTCTGATTAAAGGAACATGCTGCTAGGGCAACCTTAGGACTACACACAGTCAACACATTTTTGCGGAATAAATGACACAGGAATACTATATAAACCAAACGATAATTGTATAAAAGTAACAAGACATTCACAAATGAATCAAATTCAAATTCTTAATAAACACAACCCCCGATGCCACTCTGGCCCTAAATGAGGTTTCCAAGGGGCAATTACAAAGAAGTATTTTTCCTGTAACAAGTCACGGCAAGGAGAGAAGTAAGTGAGGTTTTGCCAATTTTTTCAAAAGTTGAGAACATTCAACTAGCAGGAAATTCTTTAAAAATATTGTTGTTTTTTTGGTACTTTGGAATTATAAACTTAATATCTTAATGGGATGATGGATCATAACATCACATACATACACACACACACACACACACTCACAAAATAAATAAATAAAACAGAAGAAAAATAGCAGCGTCAGGTTGTGGCTGCACACAGTTATCTGTGTTTATCAGCGACTGCTATCCGGACTGGGTGCTGTTCCCACAGCCTCATATCAGCACAACCATTTAGAAATGAAACAACCACAGGAAACAAGCAAAACAACTCCCTGGCTGTCTGGTATGCATCACTTCAAACTCAGAATTTAAAAATTCTCTCCAAGTTTCTAAATATCGGCCCATTAAGTTGTTGTCTGGGGATTTAGGGAGGCCCTTATTGGGACTTGATGAACCACTTCTGTGTTCTATGACAAGATAATTTTTAGCATCCTCATCTAAGCCACGTTCCAAAACATAAGAGCCGTCACAGACAGCGGCACTGCCCTAAAGGAACTCCTAGCGCATCCTCCCTCCTGTTCTTAAACGGCACTCGTCCTCGTGCTGCTTCTGTTCTTTTCCATCCTCGTCCTCTGAGGTCGGGTAGTAAGCACCTCATGTTTAAAGTGGACGGAACAAAGGCAACGTGTTTGCGCCATTGTCTGCTGACCACAGCGGACAGGACCAGAGCCACCTGCAGGCCTGAGGAGAGCCAATCAGATTCTCTCCTCCAGGAACTGAGGATTAGGACTGCAAGACTCTGGTGGCCACAGGCACGATGCTCACAAGGACATGTCACGAGCTGGGAGGCAGGAAGGGGAAGGGCTGGAGTTGCTGTTTGAGTTCCAAGTCAGCAAACAGGGAAACGTGGTGGACAGAGTGCAGCAAAAGCAGAAAACTGAAGCACAAAAAAGCAGGGACCAGAAACGAAATGGCCTCGAAAGTGGATATTCTTGAATCCAGAGGCTTTTCTGTCTTAGGTTCTCGTTCTCTGTGAAATCCTGGTGTACTTCTTCCCCTTTAGTTCAGATAAGAGAAACCTTTGCACACTTTCTATAAGATCCCTCCTTTAGTTTTCGTGTAATTAGTTTGAGTGGGTTTCCTATGGTAATAAGAGTCTAATTATTAACAATCACTGGTTTACGGTTGACTTACTTCAACCACTTGCTAATAATCATTTAAAATTCTTCCCTTGATTTGAGACATCACTCCTTTATTTCTGTTTTAGATGTTTCTCAGGTACCAAGATCACAGTCAGATCTCGAGCGGAGGAGTACTGTTATTTGTAAATAACAATCAAAGAAAATCTTTCTTTGACACAGTAAGGTAACTACTTACATAATCTGGTAGAGGAGTGTCATTGGAGCTCAGCGAACCTCTCAAGGACTGTGTGGCTTGTTCCAGAACTTTGTTGTGTTTTTTAGACAGCAAGGAAAACAAACTGAAAAAAACAAACAAAAACCCCAATTATTTTAAAAGCACTAAGCATCTTCTTTTCTAGATCTTATATGGAATTATATAGTTACACAAAATCATTCTAAATATTATCAGTTATTCTAAAATATACTTGTAATGATTGTTTTTCCATGCCTGTGTTAACAGCAAGATGAATAATACTACTGATACAACAAAAAATGAAATGAGAATTACAAGGGTTCTAAAAATTAAGAAAAGTTTGACAGTTTAAAATTATATTTCAGACATAGGAGACATTTTCAGATGATTACTGCTGTGGAAAGAACAGTGGAAAGAATTAGAAAACTTGGGATATGGACTGACTTTATGAGTAACTCATAAGTTTCTCATCTTTCAAATAAGTGTTTTGGATTAGATTATTGCTCATTAATATAATACAGTATAGAGTCTATATTCTATATTATAGCTTTATATTCCTCTTTCTCTCAAAAACAAATGACTTTAAATATATGTATTATAAGATTCCTACCTCTGGCCATGATTAACTGGTACTGAATAATTCTCCTCCTGTAAATAACTAAAAACTGGACAAATGAAACAACTGTTTCATTTTTTGGAAATATTTCATTCAAAATATGAAACAACTGTTTTCAGGTGTTGTACAACATCTAAAGTGCAGGATTATGATCCCTCAGAGAAAAGAGATCCACGTGGGTCCCATAATGATGAGTTTCTGCCTAGCACAACATTCTAGACCATGGTTCAGAAAGGGGGGACCCAACCAGCACACAGCAGTATTGTGCTGAGCTGGGAAGACAGAGATATGAATCTGGGGTTGCTGTAGCAGCTGCAATTTGCAGCCCAGATTATCAGACTGGAGAGAAATGCAAGAGGGAGGTCAAGAGATCTGCCCAAGGGTCTCCTTGAATGGCTAAATACTAAGCTGCACTGTGCAGAGAAAGACCCCAAAAGGTGTGGCAACCAACAACTATTCAGGAGCTTCAAAATGAATAGATATTTTGGAGGTCACAACAGGCTGGAGGATGCTGGCATTCCAAACAGCCAGAGTGGAGAAAACTCATTGAACATGGGCATTCAGTTAAAATTCTCACAAAGGCCATGCTTTAGGAGTAGGGCTAGAGTAAAGATTATTCTAAGATGCACTCTAACAGACCGAAATGAGCAATTTTCAAAGAATAAAACAAATTTACATTAAATGTAAATGGACTAAACACCAGAGTTAAATGGCAGAGATTGTCAGACTGGCTAAAAAAGAAAGACCCAATCACATGCTGTTTATAAGAATCACACTTGTAAATTTAAAGACATAGATAAGTTAACAGTAAAATGATGAAAAAATATTATAATTAATTATAAAGATATAATATCTATATAGTATATTAATATATAAAATATACTTAAGTTAAATATTAATGTATGTATTATATATTACAGAGATGGAATTAATTATAATGTAAACAGTCATCATAAGAAAGCTGGAATACCTCTATTTATATTAGACAGAGTAGGCTTAAGGACAAGAATACTATTATTAGAGATAAAGAGAGAGATTTTATAATGAGGAAAGGGCCAATTAACCAAGAAGACATAACAATTCTAAATGCGTTTGTGCCTAATAATAGAGCTTCAAATACACACAATTATATGCTCCTAATATTAAATCTACTGTAGCTAATAAAAAAAGAATTCCTCTTTGGGTTAGAGGGCAGCTTAAAAATAAAGGTAATTCTGATTCCATGTACTTTTCCACATAAATATGAGGTATGATCTGTAGCACTTTTTTTAAATGCCAAAAACATTACTCTAGTAGTTCTCAGTGATACTTTTCTAAATAGAATATTGGTTTGAATATCCATTTAGGAAAATCCCTAACTATTTCAGATATTCACTGAAGACAGGGCTACTCACTATTCTTTCTATATTAAGTGTTAACTAACATTATTCAGGGGAAAAAAACCTCCTTAAACAATAGATGTTGTACAAAGCAGATAGAACAGAGGCAAGGAATATTCTCTAAATCTATACTCAAATCCAGTAGGAAGAAAAAGTGAAATAATTACTGAGTGAATAAATGTGGAATCACATGATACTGATTAAGTGCTAAGCATAAGTCTAAAAGAGACACTTCTTTGAAATGGAATAGTCCAGGAAAATTTTGTCAAGGGGTTAGATCTTACACAGAGTCTTGAAGACGAGAAAAGATTTATTTGTGCAAGAGAAGAGAAAAGCCATTTCCAAACAGAAGGTAGAACACGGAGGCGAAATAGGGGACAGTGAGAAGAGTGGAGTGGAAGTGCTACTTCAAGAAGATGGAAATAAGATTCAGTCTGGGTTTGTGCATTTTTCCCCAATCATTTTATTTTTCTGGGTCTTCTCCATTTGAGGTTTAGTTTTGCTTTGTTTTTCCTTCTTAAGGTTAAAAGTAAACATCTCACTTTCTACTCATACCCATTCCCATGACCCATCGTTCACTAACATTTTCAGTTTGTTGTATACGATTCCAGAAATGTTCTATGCAGCAAGGCATGTATATAAATGAATACTGTACATATACTTCCATCTTTTTTACTCCACAAAATATGTATTGTTCTGTACCTCACACTTTTTCCACTTAACAATATATTCTTTGATTCATTGAACATTTATCGAGTGCCAGTCACTTGATATCTAAGTATACAGATATAACAATTCATTTAATTAGTCCATTATCAATCAGTCATTACAATGTTTCTAGGTTTTTTTTTATTATAAACAGCACCGCAATGAATACCTTCGTAGGTAATTTTTAGCAGACCGAAGGTGAGACTATCTATAGGATAAATTCCTTGAAGTGAAACTGCTGAGTAAAAGAATAACTGCACATAAAAGCGAACTGCTGTAGGAGTATATATTTTTAAATAAACAATTTAAACAATGAAAATAAAAAGGTAAAAATATGTTGTAATAGTGTATAAATCATATTCACATGGAAATGCATACAAAGAGGGAAATTAGCAAGATTCCTCCAGTTGGTTGCAGCATATTCTCTGGAATAAATGGAATTTCAGAAGTTCTTTTGAAACTGAAAGAACTTTGGTGGTGGATTCTAGCCTAGGGCATAGCAAGACTCAGGCCTAAACTGGGTCCCCACACTAAAAGCAAAACCGGCAAATACACCTGGAAGACTGAGCTGCTTGGTCTCACTAGAGGGAAGGAGGCAGTGGAGGCGAGTGAAGCAAGGCAGCGCACTTTGTTGAGTTTACAAAACACTAGAACTCAGGAGCTGCTTTCAGGGTTCAACAAACCTGGGCTTCTCTCCCTGAGTGTCCTAAGAGTGTACCTTCAGGGAAGGACGACAGAGGTGATCTATGGTAACTTTCAGCATCAACTGAAGATAATTATTAGAGTCTTAGGAATCAAAGCAAAAGGGATTTGAAATTGTTTCCCTTGGAGAAGAAAGGCTAGTTTATTTATTTTAAAAGAGAACACTAACAATCTGCTTTCCTTGTTAGTAGGAGACAAAACAAGGAAGTGAGCTTCAATTCAAATAGAAGCTCTTTCAGTCGGGCATAATGGAAAATTTGACCATTCAAGGGCACAAAATGTTGAAATGGTCCCCAAGAAGCAAGCAGTGGCGGCTGCTCCCAGCCGTTTCTAAGGAAGTTGGTGGAAGAACAGAGATTTGAGGCCACTTTTGGTCTCCCATCAGGAATGAGAAACAGAATTCGCGCCACAGAATTCGCGCCTGCTTCAAGTTGTTATGCCTCTACAGTTTAATAGGCTTTTCCCTCAGGTCTTCTAGCTAGAGCTTTCAAAATTTTGGTGTTTTTTTTTTTTTTTTAACATTCTACTTTCGGTTTTCATTTAGCATTTTTAAGGCAAAATGATCCAAATTTATATGAGACATGATTTGCAAATGGCCGAGAAAAGTAACTTTTGCTTAAAGCTTTGCTTTCAAAGTACTAGCCCTAGCTTAATGCTAGACAGAATGATAAAGACACATGGTGTTTGCATGTAAAGGGATAATTCTGATTTTAAAAATAAGTGAAATTGACTTTCAAGTGTGCTTAATATTCATTCAGTCAGGATACAGCTGCCAGAATACTTTTTTTAAAATTAGAAGAAGGCTGGAATTTTCTTCTTTTATAAGAATGTTCATTACAAATTGGTTTAACAACGAAAAACTGAAAACAACCAAAAAACTGTGGGATATTCAGACAATGAAACAATATGTAGCAATTTAAAGTGGTCTAAAGCTACATGTAACAATAGGGATAAATCTCAAAAAAAAGTTCTACAGGGAAGGACCCTTGTAGAAGAATGTGAACAAGGTGATATTATTTATACAGCATTTTAAAAATGAAAACAATCTTATATATATATATCTTTTACCAACAAAACACATGAAATAATAAAATATATATGGAAATGATAAACATTGCATTTAGGACAGCCATTATTCTCTGAGAAAGAAGGGAGGGAAATGGCATCAGGGAGGAAGAAACAGAGGATTCAGGGCTTGTGCTCTCTCTCTAATGTTTTTTTGGTTATACTGGATACACACATAGGAGACTGCTGTATTACTCCCTATTTTTTTGGTGTATGCCTTAAATATTACATACATCTTAAAAACTGAATAAAAAGAATACAGTATCCTGGAGAAAACAGAGCGCCTGCCAATAGCCAGCCTTTCACAAAAGAAAGCAGCATGGAAAGAGACTCTGTGTGGTCAGTCCGACCTGGAATATGCTCAGAAAACCACAAGCTGCTGAAAAGCGCTGCAGTTTAGGGAGTACACTGCTGGCAGGAGATGAGAGCAGAATAAGGACAGTCTGCAGACAGACCGTGAAGGGCCGCCACAGCACGTCAAAAGTCCTGGACTTTATTCTACATGGAGTGAGAAGCTAATGGAACATCAGTCTTACAAAACGATAAAAGAGACACGGTTCCTTGTTCCACAGGAGCTCAAGTCTGATGGGATAAGGGAAAAAAATGTCTACACTACTAAAGCCAGAGAGGGCCCTG